TGACCTTTCAAGCTAAGCTTACCATAAGACATGCATCGGCACCACGATCGTGTACATTTTAAGCATATTTTCCGTGTCATCCAGTGCTTCCTTTTGGCCAAGATCTGTTGGCTGCCAAGGAAACCTTGCTATGGATTCCTGCTGCTGTCTTCTCAAAATGAAGAGTCTGTCCATATAAAGCTATGGGCTCCTTTGAGAAAACCCTGGGGGTTCTGTGTGTAGCCAAACGGTGATGATGGCATGCCTATTTTTAAGCTAAGTTACACAAGGCTTCTCTCTCTCTCACACTGTATGAGAACTTGTGTGCTGGTTATTCAATTGTTCGGCTTTGGCAGTTGATTGTTGGATAGAACACCTTATCCTTTAATGTCAGTGTCATGGGTAGGGAAGACATCTAATCTGAACTTTTATTTTCATGGCTTCAGAAATGTAAGCAGGACTCATTTTTGAACTGTCCATAAAGTTTTGATTCTGCCTTGAGCGAACGCTGAACCGTAATCTTCACAATTTTCATGGAGTAGTGAGCACTTGATGTACACTGACATCTTTGGCAGGGCGTCTAGCAAACCTTTGCCGTCTTTTCTTTGGAACCAGGTGTGTGTGAATCTGCACACCCAGATTTTCAGTTGCCATGAGAACTTGTCTCCAGGTGTAGGGAGGTGGGTACATGGCAATAGCATCGTTTTTAACCGGTGGTGCAAGTGATTAACAAACCAGCCTGAGAGTTTTTAATGATCAGCTTATGCACAGGATGCCAAACGTGTTTGGAACTGTTTGATCAAGCCAATATGTCTAAATCTCCAGTAGCTTTCATACAGAAGACCTTTTATTGTGTTTAATAAAAATGAGAACCGCTTATAGACTTCCCAATATGAGTCATTTCTTGGGTGTTGAGGGTTAACTGCACTTCACACTTGGTGCTGCCAAACTATATTTTTCAGTTGGTGTGGGAAGCATCAAGCTTCTTGGCTCTCTGACTCCTGTAGGACTTTTCTGGACTTGGTGTTCATCTACATAGATTGCAATGGCTGCATTTTTGGATTAAACCATCTTTCACTTGGTTATGTAAATCTTGTCAGATCGCAAGGCTCATGTCTGCAGCAGAAATGCCATCTTGTTCTAAGGACCTGGGACTGCAGGGGTTCCAACAAACTAAATTTGTTGGTTTTAAAACCTGATGAACTGTCCTAATTCTGTGCCTCTTCCTACAGGTGGAGACCAGGGAGTGTTGAATTCTTTTTTCAGCAATTGGGCAACTGCAGACATTTCAAAACATCTACCCTTCATTTACAACCTCAGCAGCATCGCAATCTACTCTTACCTTCCAGCTTTTAAGCAGTAAGTATCCATTTTAATGCATACAGTTAGTGTCTTTGAAGACTATCAAATGCACTTCTTGACACATGACTTTTGAAGCAGATGGCTGTGTGGTCACTTGAAAAGCATGTTGGTCCCTTTGGAAATAAAGGCATGGATTACCAAGCAGATCTTGGCCATTGGTTTTAAAGAGCTGCCTGAAATGGCAGTTTCACTGCCACTGCATGGGTTTTTGAATGAGACTGAAAGTGGCTGTTACCCTCCCACACAACTAAGTCAGCCTCATCATTGAGGAATTCTGTGGTCACCCCCAGCATGACGGTCTTTGGCGGCTTTGAGAATTTTCAACCAACAGCATGTTGCTGCAAATCATTTATCCATAACTGATAAATATCTGGTAAGTGAAATGGAATGATCTCAAGATTCTGAGAAATGTAAACCTGTTTTGATCCTTCGTTCCAGGTACGGTAGCAATGCTAAGGTGGTTCATTTCTTGGGGAAAACCAAGCCATGGAGCTACACGTATGACACCACAGGGAAGCGTGTGGTGGCCACTGTCCAGGAGTCGTCCACACATCCTGGCTTCCTGCTGAAGTGGTGGGACATCTATGCCAGCACAGTGGCACCCCTGCTGGTTAAGCTTCATGGTGACCAGCAGTTCCACTCTGGATGTGTGATAGTAAGTTTTCTCCTATAGGACTAATTTGCAGGGTATTGAGTGTTTGGCCCTTCAAAGGTGCAATGATGAGTGGTTTTAAGGTGTAATGGGTTACAGATCCTAGAACATTGCATCAAATGTCATTGGCATGAATTTTATTTATTGCCTATAAATCTTTACACTGGTACACACTATGCTGTTAAGATTGGATGGGGGCAGGCACAGGTCAGTGCATTTCCTCTTATAGAGCAACTCCTGTGCTCCCTAGGGTGAGGTTGCAGCTGGGGTGAGGCATCTTGACATTTCCCAAGAAGAGCCAGCCCCCGTCTCCTCCGAAGAGCGAAAGCAGAGGTGGGAGCAGGGACAGGCGGATTACTTGGGAGAGGACTCTTTTGACAACATTCAGAAAAAGCTGGACTCCTTCCTCAAGTGAAGATGAAGTCCAGTGTTGCTGGATTGGGGGTGTAAACCCTGTATGGTACACATGCTATCAACACTTCTGACTCTGGCTGTGTCCTCCATTCTGATCATGTTGGAACCTTTAACTTGGTGTTGCTCCTCCTTTTGCAGAAAAGCTTCACTCTTGAAGGACTGTAGATGTAGTTGACAATACTCAGACAAAACTGTTACTGTATAGACTGGTAAACCCTTATACTAGTGTAACCACTACATAAAGTGTATGAATACTGTGTATAAGGGAATAAAAGTCTTCATACAGAATGGTATCAAGATCCTTGTTTTTGTTCTAGTGTCAAGCAGGACTTGGCTTCATGCTGCCCATTATGCCAGTCACGAAATGCCTCCTAATGAACTGGCAACAGCTTTCAACTTTTAGTTTTAATAGCCAATTAAAGTAATCTTGAAGTAATTTCTTCATTGTGTCAGCCCTCCCCTGTATGACTTCCCTCCCTGGCTCCCTCGTCAAATGTTATAACAAGTTAGGTGTGTACTGTTAAATGGGAATTGCCTGCCACATGGGGAGGGGGGACTTTATGGGAGTAATGGCTCACGCCTCCATCTGCTCTTGCTTTGCACAGCATTGGTTGCAGATGCTGCTTGAACATCCTGCTGCTCTCTGCCTGTGAAATGCTGCCTGTTTCCTTACATTTCGGCTGCATTACTGTATGAGTTTATGTCCAGACATGATTGATCTGTGAGCTAAAGGCTTTTACATGCAAGCAGGTGGTTGGTTTTGGTCATTGTGAATGTTTTTAAATGTCTATGCTAGGGAGCGTTGTACCATTATGAATTCTACTCAAGACCAGTATTGTCTTGCTCTCCTCCTCTGACTTCACCCCCGTCCTCCTAGGAGGTGCGGATATGCATTCATAAGCCCTCCTGGTCATCCAGGTTTGTCCCTTTTGATTCAGCCTATGAAAGGTGAAGCCTACGGCTCACTAGAAACTGCACACATGGGCTCCTGCTATAAGCACAGCCTCCAATGCATGGTTTGAGTCCAAAAGTGCAAGCACCCATCACCTTTCACAACCAATGCCCAAAGAGCAGCATTTATTGTGGCTATACGAGGTCAAGAGATTTCTGGGGGAAAACCCCATTGGTCTGCTGTTAGGCAGACCAATGGTCATTTTTAATCTTCGAGTAGTAGATGGGCTAACAAAGTGCCCATATCTTTCTGCAGTTTTCCTCAAGGGTGCTCTTAAAGTAGGCACAGCTGTATTTAATACATAACATAAACAAATGCATTGTTTCAGCACTTTTTATTGGCACTGGTATTTCACAATATTGTGTTCAAATGTTAGCCAAATCATAAAGTTTAACTGTTGCAGCTTGAATTGCAACTGTTAAAACATTAATAAAATGTATATTTAAAGGAAATTTTTATCTCCTGAGGTAAAGCCCATTTGTTCAGACTGGAGCTGAATGTAATCAGCTATTTCACTCGGACGTCAAACCATTGTGCTCAGCAGTTCAGCTGAGCTTATTGAAAGTCATTAAGTTTCCTGTTTATACATTTGGATTTTTTAATTAATCTGTCCTAGAATGTTGCTCAACAGCACTATATAACTGTAATCGAAGGAAATTTAGCAGCCCCGACTAGTACAAAAAACATCTGCAAGCTGGTACGACAGGGTGAAGCTTGCAGCCTTACATAAACGCTAAAATGCTTTATAAAAGTAAAAAATACTCCTTTGAAACTGATTTAAAAAGTCATTGAAAAAGCATGACTAAGAAAATGACATTTTAAAGGGAGAAATGCCTGCCCTCTGCCCTTCAAGCAAGGTTTATCAAATTTTTCCTCAGGCTGCCCCCTGCTGGTGTGCAAGCAGATTGGCGGCCAATAAATGAGCATAACGAGGGAGGGATCCCACAGCAGGTTGGGCTAAGTTAACACAGGGCATGATGATAAACAGCACAAAAGATTCTAAAATTAAGCCCTGGTTCATCGCCTTAATGTTATACAATTACAGCAGGGCAGTGGGATACTGGGGTAGACAAAAACTTAACTTAGTTCCTTCCCGGATAAGACTACCACGCTTATTTTCATTTCTTAAAAATGTTAATGTGCTTCTCAAAGTTACCACCAGGGGTCTCAGTTGGACAAAAACTACACAAAAGTACATATGAAATGCTGATACAGTCAAAGGGAACAAACTCTTCCTGTAAAACCAAGCATTGCCACAGTCAGCATGTGACTCATCTAATATATAGGTGCTTTCTACATGCTTATGCCTGATAAAAGTATTATACATACAACCCTGGAAACAACAAACAGTAAATTTTTAAGGAGTATTTTTAAACCAATCTGCAGTGACAGTGCACCTGGGAAAGTGCAGAAACCAATTGGTGGACACACACACACTCAAAAAGTCACACAGTAAGGGGAATTAGAATAGAAAATAGAATGTAACAGCAATACTTTATTGATCCCCATGGAGAACTTGTGTTTTCACCTATCCCATCTTGTTCTCCAGGAGATAGACAGGTACTATTTACAGTTAGTTTTTTTCTGCCTGGGTGTCTGTATTGGCAGTTCAGACCATGTACTGTAGGAACAGGACACCAGTCATTTAAGATGTAAATTTATTGCAAGAGTCAAATATATTCTATAACATTACACATGTTGCTCCCTCCACACTCATAAAACCTTGAGTTTTCACAGTAAACCCCATTTATCTGCTCCAAGGACCCCCAGGGCCAGTAGGGAGATCTATCCCAAAGAGACCAAGGCATATAAACTGCACAAACCAAGCATTCAGGCCCTGGAAAAACACCATGAAGAACTATCGTGAAGGGCTCAGAACACACGAAACCAAACAGAATGTATCTCAGAGTGAGAAGGACCGGTATGGTCCTCAGCAGTAACATCAGGAATTGGAAAATCACTGAATTTGCGAACAGCTTGATTTAGCCAACTAGATAATTATTCATTAGCTACACATGACAGCACAATGAACTTACACTTCAGTACATTAAGGTCACTTGAGGTTGAATATACTCTTTAGCTTTTATGGTGAAAATGTTTATCAAGTAAATTGGCCTTCTCCCAAACCTTAGTTATTCAACCAAAACAGTGGCCCTTCAAGGAGAAGGTTTCAGAAAACGCATGTCACAGATTTACAACCAGCACTGCAAAAAGCAGACAGAAAACAGATGAGTTACAGAGAAGCGTGTGATAAACAAAACCTTTGACGGAGTCAGAAACAAGTAAGGCACATGGTAGGAATGATTCAATGGCACGATCGGTCTCTCCCTCGGGATTATGGATCCATTTACACATATATCCAAATATCCTTCAGCAAAAGCTTGTCACGTCAGGGACTTGAGGTTTCATTTCATATTGTTTTGATAATTTATACTCCCATACACTTAATCTCTCTGGCCTTCTGCGTAATAACTATACACCTGGACCCTCATTTCTCATATTGACTGAAGACCAACTCAAGCAGATGTCATTGTGACAAAGTTCTCAGACAAGTCTGAGTGGATCTTTTCACATGTTGGACATGCTCTGGGGTTGTACAAGGTTAAACAGCCTCTCTCTAAAAATAACCACCCATAGCCATGTTTTAGATCAATCTGACAGCCAAACAGACTACATGAGAACCTTACACCTTCCTGGACATCTCACCCTGAAAACAGGAACTAATGCAGCAGCCATAATGGACCAGCATGGACTCATCATCCAGAGGAAACAGGCTCAGAGTGATTAGCCTCAACTCGAGCAGTGAGTGCGTAATCGAGGACATTCCTGAGACAGACCTTGAAGAACAAACACAGTAAACAGCACATTAAAGATGTAAAAATATACCACATGACAGGAGGGCTTAGAAGGCACCAGAGAGCCCAAACCAAAGTAGGAAATGCCACACAAAATTGCAACTGGAAAATCAGCATGTGCCCCAAGGGTGCCACCTAAAAAGCCCAATCCCCCAAAACAGCATCTAGGAAGACCAAACAAAAGACCACCCCGCCACACTGACAGGAACAGCAGAGGACAACGCCAGGTCAAATTCAGTTACAGCTCTGCACCAGGATCTAGTTTAGGCTGATTAGTAGTACTAGAAAATTCCCTGGAGCAGTTCAGAAGTGTTCATATTCTTAAAACAACCATACATGGCATTTAATGGTACATTTAAAGACTTAAAATCTGTCCAATTTACAGCCCACAAACCAAACACACCCTCTGGTGTCATAAAAACAGCCAATGATGACACTGCCAAGCCAGGCTCTGGGTCAGGCATCAGCCTATAACAAAAGGTACTGGTCTGGGAACCTGCCTGTATTATGCAGTGTTTATGTGCACAGAGGGAACCATGTGAATATCAGCACTGCAGGTCACATTCAGAGAGAAACAATCTGACTCCCTGCTCTCCTGTCAGTGAATGACCCCATTGATCTATGTCACTGTGTTTTTAAAGATCTATGTATACTTAAAAAGGAGAATGTGTGGTTTGCCAAGTTACATTACAGGAAGTAGTATTTGAGGGATGCCGAATCCCCACCCCCCACAGCATATTCACAAAGGATTCTTGGCACAGCTTTCTGAAGACTTTAATACATTGCATTCTAATGGCCCACAATATTATAAAAATATTAAAGATTTAAAAAAAAAAAAAGAAATATCGATACTGTTTAAGCTGAGCTAATACATCCCAAAAACTGCTTAAACTGAGGGGTCTAGTCCAGTCCGTCCACGGTGACGCCCCTCGGCATCGCAGATAGGAACCCCGCCACTCTCATGCCCGAGTGGAGCTGCGAGAAGGACGGTGCCCATGCAATCAGGAGGAAAGCGCCTTCACCAGATACAGTTTGTCGCCATGCTCGCTCGTGAAAATGGGCGCCCTCTTGTAGTGTTCCACCAGCTCCTCCATGGAGCTGAACTTGCGTTGGCCGATGCAGTAGAGGCCGTCCTTGAGCTGCACTTTGAAGTGCTTGTTCTTGCTCTGGGCTTTCAGGGAGATGGAGAAGTCATGGGGCTTAGAGGGGGAGAGACAGAGAACGAGGGGGTTAACGGGAGAGCTTACAAATGGCCATGAAGCCTCTCAGGAAACACACTACGTCTCACCCTGGTTTCAGGGAAGAGACGCGGTAATTATGGCTTAGTTCCTTAAAACTGATTTATCACCTCCGACAGGTGAGCGGTATGTCAAGGTTCTGTACTGAGTGCTTTACTGCCACATATTGCAATGTGATGCTGCAGGCAACGTCATCGTGGAACACTGCGCCCGACACACTAGTTTTTGTAAAGCTGGTTATGCCTTGGCTATGCTGTTTTAGCTTTTAAACCTTAACATTTAAAAGTAGGTATTTCCCCAAGAAGATTCATAATAAAATCAGACAGAAAAGCCAATAATTTAGCTAAATTTAAAAAGTGTTTTAAAACTTAAAAGGGTGTTTTTTGTGCTTTTTATGAGAGATGATTGGTTGGTGGACATGATGCCTTAACTGAGCCATGACTTGATTCGGTATATTCAACTTACGGAGGATTCGCTGTCCCTGATGAGGAAGTCGCCGTCACCACCCCGGAGGTTCAGGGCGACCTCGGCCTGCTGCCGTGTCACTTTGCCGTAGTACCACGGCTGGCCGGCGAAGCTGCCGGTGGCGGCGGGCTCGATGTAGTCGCAATCAGGTGGCGGTGGCCCTGCGGCCTCGGGTGAATCATGGGAGTCCTGCCTCACGGCCACGTAGTTCTTGGGCACGAGGCCGACCCGGCCGTCTGCCTTGCGGCACTTCCACCACTCTGGGTCGTTCTCGGGCTTCTCCAGCACGTCCATGACCTCGCCCTTCTCAAAGGTGAGCTCCTCGTCGTTGCCGGAGCTGAAGGGGTAGAGGGCCTGGACAACATCCAGTGTGCGGCCGCTACCTTCGAAGCTGCCGTGGAGTGCGCTGGCCAGCTTCTCTGTCAGCGACACAGACGGCGCCTCCGGGGAGCAGTCCAGGTCCTCTGTCACGTAGTTGGAGGGGAACCAGCCACAGTGCCCCCCATAGCTGCCACGCCACCAGCCGTCGCTGCACTTCTCCATGACCATGACCCGCGTGCCCTTGACCAGCGACAGCTCATCCTCACGCTCGGCCGCGTAGTGGAACTTGACCAGCGCCGGCGCATTCAGCTGGAAGGAACGTTCGCCGTTGTCCGGGCTGACGTCAGGGTCGGCGGTGGAGGACGCACCCCCACTGGGTTTCCGCTTCACCTTCCCGATCCCTGTGGAGACCAGGAGAGGCTGTTAGCTCTGAGGTTAGCTCATGACTTAGCAGGGGTTATTAACATCTCTTTGTGAGAGGGAGAAGCTTGTGAAAATAATGGGCTAGGGTGTGAGCAAATGGAAATCACTAGAGTGGAGTTGGAGGGGAGGGTGAGGGCATCCATAAACACCAGTCATACCAAGGCACCCAGAGCCTCGGGGTGTGCAGGGATCAGCAGACACACTGTTATGGAGACAGTCACTACGTTAACATGCACACTGAGAAAATCGAATTACTGTGTTAGTCTGACTAAAACGGGACTTTTAAAGTACATGTAGATATGTTAGTCTGACAAATCGCACTAAATCGAATTTCTCAAAGTCCGACTAAGACACCCAGATAAAGTGACTGGGAGTCAATGTACTCTTGCATGTATATGTTAAATCGGACTCAAACCGGCCTGCTCATGCTCCACAGTTTCCCCTCCGGGTTTTGACCTGGAAGTAGCAGAAGAAGCATGGATCATAGCGGAGGACGTATAGTACGTACAAAATGTACAGCGCTGTAAAGCTGCCCAATTCACCGCTCAACTAAAGGGCATTTTTCCACCGCCCCAGATTTTGTACTTTTGGTACTTCAAGAAGGTACCAAAAGTACGGTACTTCAAGGTGTTGATTTTCCACTGGTGTAAAGACTGGTACCAGCACCGAACGACATCACAACGTGAGGCAGAATATTTTGTACTGAAATCGAAAATAATATAATATATTATGTAATATATTATAGGACTGGATGACGTGCCATATTAATACCAACACATGTTCACATGTTATGCACATCCAATTGTTACATTGCTAGTCAGCTAGATTAAGATCAGGCTTTTTCTTACCTTCAATTTAGTACAGATATTATAGAGCAGGGAGTTTAAGTCTCGCTAAAATATTTTTACTCTGTCATAGGAAAAACAATCTACCACGTTTTGCAATTTTAATGATTATTCCTTTTCAAAGATTATCTAGTATATGTTTAAAACTCAGTTTAAAGTATGCCTCCACTGCTTTTTCATGAGTGCTGCATGCATTCTCTGAGACAATCATAATCATTTTCATCCTTTCTATTTAAATCACTCCTAGATGGGTGCGTGAGAAATTTATGTTTCATAAATACCCTAATATTTATTATAACAAAATCACATTGCAATATTTGAAAAAATTTGCTGTATCTGTTCTTCCGACCAGATCGTAATTAAAGCTTGTGTCATGTCATTTGCCCACACATCCATTATTATTAACTTTATTATTTTTTTTTACGTCTGTGACGTAATAAATCAACCGGAAAAAGCTCAATACTGAAAACAGCTGTATAGCCATCTATTGTAGCAGTCGGACATACTTTGGTCATTAAATTGATTCCCCTCCCATGCATGTATACTGGGACAAGGACAGTAGTCTGATTAAATGGCGTAGTCAAGCTATAACCGTAGCCCGACTTAGCTGTGCATGTAAACGTACTGAGTGTAATAAGCGAACAGCCCCCACGTTGGTGAGGCCCTCTTGGCCTTGTGGAGGACACATGCTGACATGTTCATCAACCTTCAGCAGAATTCCATTCTCTATTCCTGAATTTTTACACCCATCAGCCCGTTTTGGTATGTAATGACACATCCTGGCTTAAATATTCCCCCCAGCACAACGAAAACAGAAACACGCACTGTATAAAGCGAAACATGCCCAAGCAAGCTGTGTGTGCACACTAATCCAGGCACAGCACTAAGAGACTGCGTTCTGCAAAGTGTGCAGCCAGCCGGGGTTGGGGGCCATGGCTGAGTGTCTGGAGATGGCCAAGCTCAACCCCCCCAGCCCCCCATGCAGATGTCATGGTAAAGAGCAAGCCATTATGTTAGACCTGGGGGTGGCAGGGGACAGTTTAAAAACACTGTGAACAGCATCTAGCAACAACAAAAAACCCTTACCAACGTTACAGAACATACTATAACTCTGCGTGTGTAAATGAAGGCGTGTCAGAGTGGGTAGGGCAGAGAAATGTAAACTTTACCATGGAGAACATTCCCAACGTCATCGGTCTCTGGGTGGAGTGTCTCTGAATAAAATGGGTGGTTTCATTTAAAGGTCAAAGATCAAAAACGGCCATATTAGATCAAAAGTGTGTTTCTACCTACACACCTCACAACATGTCAAACAGCCAAGCCCGAAAGCAAGAAGCTGGTGTAGATGCATGGCACGTGACAGCTGTACAGATCTGTCTCAGGCTCTCTCAGCAAGGATGTGAATGTTCCAGATGAGCATATTGACACTGCTGTCACCATACAGTGCTGCGTTCCTCTTGAATGCAGACCCTCCAGACACATTGTTAAGTTGGCCTTCTGACACATCACAGACACTTCATTCAGAGCCAGTAGGTTAGTACAAGGGGCATATATTGTATGTCTGCCTACATGGTTAACTTACAGTGTCACTTTCAGCTTTGCCACCATACAGAAACAAACGCGAACACGCCACAGTCTGATCATCACCCCAATGCTTCACTGTGCTACCAGCATCTTACCTATTAAAGATTAAGCTTGCTTGAGTCTGACGGCGCTTTTCAGCAACACCAGATACTGTACTTGTGGTACTTCAAAACAGTACAGAACATCTTATGTTGGTTCTCCACTGGTGTAAAAACTGGTACTGGTGCTGAATGTCAGAATGAGCTGGGGCATTTTTACTGAATTCAAAGAATAGCTATAGCACATATCTAATTGTAATTTTCTGGCAGATACTGCGATTTGATTTTGATTGATATTTAAAAAAAAATAAAATAAATAAAAAATCGAGCTATATACAGTGTGTAATAAATGTAAAACATACGATGCAGCATTGCCCCATGAGATACCTTCAAAATATAATACAGGGGTGAGAACTTAAATGTATGAATTGCTTCCAACATGTTATTACTTTTTTGACCCTTGTGTACGAGTCTTTAGTGACCCAGCATATACATATTTAAAAATCAAGCCAGAAGTAACGTAACTGTGGAACTTTTATTGAATAGCTCATTCCTGAACACTAAGAAGAGTTTCTAAACAAGCTGAACTGTTTACAACCATCATATGATAAGGATGGCAGTATGACTCGGTATAGATACTGTCTACATTATTCCACATACTCTTTCTCCGCAACAATTTCCTAAAAAAATGACGCAAACATGATATGGTACAAATTAGCATATAAAGGTTAAAATGCACAATAACTTCTCATATCAGCTGAAATGCAAATAAAATAAGTATGCATTTGCCCTGTTACAACAATCAATTGCCACACGTATTGCTTGTAAATGTGAATGCGTTTTTGCGTACCAGTTATGTGCATACCTGAACATAAAACAATTCTCTCAAAAGATGTGTTAAGGGAAAGAAACCAATTAAAAAAAAATAGTTCCATTAAGAAAAAAATATGGATCCTGCAGCTAACGCTGCTTGGTCCTCTAATAATAGCACCTTTCTGTAAACAATCTCTGACCATGAAATAAGCAATTCACTTACAGCTTATTTTTCGCACCGCGAATGTTTCACATATATGCTGTGGCTTTGGGCCACCTCTGTTTGGTGAGCATCACTGGCACGCAAGGAGCACGGTACTTCTGAATGTACGTCAGAATGCTTGTCATACAAGTATGACAGTATGAATATGTAAAACCACTCTCATTCAGGGGTTTAAAACTGTCATAAGACGTGCTATATAAAGCATACCCTAGACTGCAACCGTTGTGATTTGCTAATTGCATTGTTTCAGATCGCGATTATGATTTGAAATCGATAAATCATTCAAGCACACCGGAAGTCAATGTAAAAGGGAAAGTACCACATTTTTGTACCAATAGTATGATATCTAGTGTAGTAGAAAAGAGAGCAGAGCTATGGCTTACAGCACAAGCTCACCATGGTTTAAAAGGACAGGCTGCTTGGTGTGGTTGACATCAGGGGTGTGAATTCTAAAACAAGGTGTTTAAACAGCTGCATTTGTACAGATAATGAGGAAGAATGGCAACAATAATCACCATCTGTACCAAATCCGAGACAGCTGATAACTTTGATCTGATAAAAACCACACTTGGGCTTTACCTGACCATGAAGAGCATCATCTTTTTCATTTCCTGCACATGCAGTAGCTGCTTAAATGGGCTGAATCAGATAGCAGGTGGACTGTAATATTCTTACATGGAGAGCCACTCCACACTGCCCTCAGGTGAAAGGTCAAGGCACTGCATGTATGACAACTTTTTGACAGTTCAATAGACCATAGGAGAAAACCTCCAGAATGTCACAAACAGCAGTTTGTGACTATCGGAAGGTTCCACTGCCAACATGGTGTCGGCCATATTGCTTCCTGACCTCACTGGCTTATCAACTGCCAAACACTCGCTGCTCAGCAGGACACATTGTCTGCTCCTGGCAGACCCTGAACAAGACCAAAGTGGCACAGGAAACAGGAACCAGGGAGATACCATAGGGTGTTTATAAGCGACATGCGATTAAGCTGGGATCCAAACCCACTGAGAGAAGACATCAAGGTTCTATGTGGTTGTCGAGGCACAGGCCCAGGTACAAGGTGTCACTAGGCACGCACACACACACACACACGTCATATACCGTCCACATGTGTCAAGACACATCGATCTTAATCTCGTCACTCTTAGTACTGCATGTAGGGCAAGCGTACCATCTCTCTTCCAAAAAACGGTAAACTGTGAGGGCAGAGCTATAGGTTACAGCACCAACTCACCATGGCTTAAAAACACAGGGTGTTTGGTGTGGTAGACAGGCACATTCATCCCATATATCTATATATCTCATTCAGTCGATCAATCAATCAATCAATCAATCAATCAATCATTCTATCACCCCAACCCAGCCCTCAGCCCTAACCTTAACCAAAAGTAACCAAACAAAACACAAGAATTTTTTGATTGATTTTTATCAAATTGAGGTTATCCTTTTGGGGACTGGAAAATGTTCCC